ACATCAAAAGCTGTGATTTTGTTTTTGACTGTTTCCAAGCCAGACAAAGCTACTTCTATTTCCCAAGTTAGCCCCACTTTTTCTCATATGCTTTGTGCTTCCTTGTTCCCTAATTCCTTCCACCATCATATCCTTCTACCTACTAAATTCAGACCCATTTCATCTCAAGGGCAGCATCCCTGACCACCTCTCTGTCCTCCCTTGGAGTCCTTCATTAATGAGAGTTTGTTTCTCTGAACTAGTAAAGTCTGGGTTCCTTGAAACCAGGACCTGAGTCTCCTTATCATGCTTCCATCTGGCATCTAGGGCAGGTCAGGCACAAAGGTGCCAAATTAAAACTTGATGAATGAACCAGCATATGCAACTTACAATCCTCCCAACTCCCTCAGTGTTTTGGTAAAACCCTCTCTGTCATTCACCTGACTTCACTGAGAAAAATACCTTTTAGGTGGAAGGAGAACATGCCCAATAAAAAAATCCCAATAGAAACATATTGTAAAGAGAGACCCTATGTCTCATCACACAGCCCATAAAGCCATGAAAATTGTCTGCAGTCCAAACAGTAACTCTCCTTCTTAACTAAATGAATTCTGATATCTTGAAAAAGTGGGCCAGGTGCAGTGGCTCACGCCTGTTATCCCAGTACTTTGGGAGGCCGAGGTGGGCAGATCATGAGGTCAGGAGGTGGAGACCGTCCTGGCTAATACATTGAAACCCTGTCTCTGCTAAAGATACAAAAAATTGCCTGGGCATGGTGGCACATGCCTGTAGTCCCAGCTATTTGGGAGGCTGAGGCAGGAGAATCACTTGAACCATGGAGGCAGAGGTTGCAGTGGGCCAAGATTGTGCCACTGCATTCCAGCCTGGGCAACAGAGCGAGACTCCATCTCAAAAAACGACAACAACAAAATGATAGAAATTGAGGCATCAAAAAATTTTTAATAGCTTTGAAAATTAACTACTTTCCATTCCTGAGCTTTTATTAATCTCTTTTAAACCCAATATTTAGAAAGCATTCATTTTGACAAAATAAACTTCCTTGTACTACACATTTGTCTAATTTTATCACAAAACCATTCAGCCTTATCTCTATAGAGCAGTATTTTGATAAATATGTAGAATATAGTTTCCACCATGAAACAGCCCTGTATATGCCGGCCGAAGATTCAAAAAGAAGAATGCTTACCAGCTGAATAACTGTCTTAGGACCCAAGTAACCACAGCCTTACAATCAAATAATTCCCTGTCCAATCTCCCAAAACTCCAATGTATATCAAAGACCCACTTCAATAACTTGGGGGAGGTTTCATAAGTTAATTATAACAAAAACGTTTGGTAGAAGGGGAACAGCTAATTATTCTCCCTGTTTATATAATATAAGCTATGGTTTTATGGAAAAGCAATGAAAACACTAGATAAGTATCTGTGGTGTGGATTAAGAGAAATGCAAAAGGATATTCCAGTTTCTATTTTGGCATTAATTAGTGCCCCATGCCAACGCCTTCTTGCCTTTGTTTTAATTTAAATGTAAATTCAGGAGAATTTTATATTTTAGATCCTTTCTATTCTTATTGACAAATAAGATAAGAGGAACATATCAGCAGAGAATAGGTCTTCTCACATGCCAATTAAAGGCATGATACTGCATAATTATTATGGGATAAAGATTAAGCAGGTAAAGCTAAAAAGCCCTAATGGAAACATTTCAGATAAGGAAGAGATCAGAGAGAGATGAAATTGGACATACATCCCAACTAAAGCTTAAACTTCCTACACTTCTGAGTGACTTTGATCCAATAAACATTTATTGAATACCGATTGTTTGCCAGACAGTATTTGGGATAGCAGACACAAGTTGAAAAATACAATCTCACCTTTCAGGGTATTGGTATTCTCTGACCACAAATGTTACACTCAAGTTACATGTTTACATAAAGCATACACTGCATTGTCCAATGTGAAGCTCTGAGCCACAAGTGCCTATTAAATCTAAATTTATACTAGCCACATTTCAAATGCTCCATAGCCACGGGTGGCTAATAGCTACTAGCCATACTGGACATATGCATCATCACATATAGATATAGAGGCCTATCTACACAGGTTATTTCCATAAATATATGGACAGGGAACAAGTGCATCATCACAGAAAGTTCTAGTAGATAGCACTGCATAGACTCTGTCCAGATGCTTCATGATTGTTCTACATCACTGATCCTGTGACACTAGGGAAACCATTTAGTTAACCTGTGAGTCTGTTTGTTTTGCCATAAACACAACCAAAATGTCCATCAACAAAGGGATGGTGGCCTGGTGTAATGGCTCACACCTGTAATCCAAAAACTTTGGGAGGCCAAGGTAGGAGGATTGCTCCAGCCCAGGAATCCAAGGCAGCAGTGAGTTATGATCATGCCACTGTACTTCGACCTACATGACAGAGCAAGACCCTGTCATTATATTAAAAAAGGAAGAAGAATGGCCAAATAATATGGCCTATCCATACATGGAATGCTATGGAGCAACTGAAAACACCAAATAAGATCAACATGTACCAGCACACACAGATTTCTACAATCTAATACTGATAGGAATAAAGCAGGATGAGTTAAATATCCAATGTGATAGCATTTGTGTAAAACACACACTCATGTTGAAATCTACCACTGTTTTCTACAAACCTATCTCCAAATACACAAACATACAGAAAAATCTATTGACCAAACAGATAAGTGAAGTTACCTTTAGGATGGTGGCCAAAGGGGATTTGCCCTTACATAAAATTTAAAACAAGGTAGTTTGCGGTAAGATATTCATATTTTCCTTATTAAGATGAAGATACGAAAAGTCATCACTGCCCTATCAGTACTTTTTAGGTACCCATAAAAGTGCTTTGAATATTGTAAAACATTATTCTTGGTTAGAGTACAAAAAGAATTTGTTACAAGATGTTTAAGGCCTACAGAGGCAAGCAAACACATTGCCTGTGAAGAACAATCTGTGATTAGAAAAGTCCATTCTCCACTGTGCTAAAACTTGTTTATGGGCCAGCCAATGGGGAAAGATCAAAGTAAGAGACCACGTCCCTATCCACAGGCTGCTTACATACTAACTGAAAGGCATATGTTTTTACCACAACGTGGGATGAATATCATGAACTGGAAGTCCAAGATGATACAAGAACTTAAAAAAGATTTGAAAGGAGAATAGGAAGAATTAAACAGACTAGTTTTGTGTCACGGAGAGGAGGGCAATGATTCAGGCAAGGCATATAAATTAGTAACGTGCAGAAATGAAAAGAAATGGGAAGAACTCTAGATTGCCTAGGGTAGAGTGCTTGAAAGAGAACTGAGACAGCCAGATCTTACAGGACTTTGCAAGCCATGGTAAAGAACTTGGAATTTATCTTCAAGACGGGGAAGCCACTAAATTGTGATTTTCACTATGGGAGTGTCATGATCCATTCCATTTTTGTATATAATTCTGGCTACAGAATGGAAAGTGAAAGGAGAGGCGTGGCACACTCAGCAAGATCTAAGGGTGTGCCCTTAGATCCTGGACTGTGGAGGTAGCAGTGGGGATGGAGAAAACTGGGCTGACTTGAGAGACAGCCAAGAGACAGAATGGTTGTGATTTGGATACAATTGATGGAGCAGATAAATACATTAGACTTCCCTAGCTGGATATATAGAAACTCAGCATATTTCTTTTAAATGCCATTTTTCAAATGTTAAATATCTTCATCTTTTTTTATAGGTTCATAATCATTTATCAATAATCACCAAATCCAAAAAGCTCTGGAAATTCAAAGGTTTTCTGTAAGATGACAGCAAAACCTAACTTGAATTAACATGAAGTTCTTTATCCAACCTTATCACATCCTGCATGAATATTCATATATTTCACTGAAGACATAATATTTCTATGATTATGGGGTACAAGTGGAGAACACAGTAGGTCTATAAGTTAATAGATGGTATATGTACTATGTTACCCACATAAAATATGAACAAAGTCTGAATTCAGCAACACATTTGGCCCCCAAAGTTTCTGGTAAAGAACTGCAGGTGGAAAATTTCCACTTTCACTTTCCTGCTTTAAAGGTGCCTGAGATGGTGCTGATATATACCACTGTAACCACACAGCCCACATAGTTGTGTATATCTATGTGTGTGTTTGGTAGGGGGAATGGGCTGCAGGTAAATCAGCTGTTATTGTTCACTGTGCAATATGATCAGGAGTTAAGAATGTGTGTGTTTTAACTACTGACCTTTAGACATATATCAAATGAGACTGGACATGTTCATTTTCAGGGAGTTTTCATGACACTGCAGAGCAATTGCTACAGGACTAACCCCATGTATCTGTTCCCCTGGGGACTGACACTTGTTTCTACCACAGTGTCTGCTGGAAGAAGCCAGGGGTATCAAAAGAAATCAATCCCAGCCTCTACCTACAACCATCAACTTTCATATATATTTTTTAACCACTGGCACAGCGCTCTGCGAGGGGATTTGGAGATTACAAATCAATGGTACCTGATTCCAAACTATTCCCAGGGAAGTTGTTCCAAAGAGGATGTCCTATAAATGTTGGTTAAAATGATACACTAGTAATAAAGAGGATACTAATCTGTAACACCAAGCATGAAGTGAGAAAGTCACACTGCTAAATTTGAATACAGCATATAAGAGGAGGGAGAACAGAGCATCTGGGGAAACAATTCCTTTGGTGAGTGAGATTTGGGGACAGGTGGGCAAAAGAAATTGAAGCACATCTTCCCAACTGACCTATAATATAACTCTCCATTGTCACCCCTTGAGGGACATTATTGAAGACTTACCTGAGTCATTAAGAAATTTTTGGAGTTGTATTTGTGTTCACTTTTGGATTAAAACTGATCTCAAAGCAACCCTAGGTTTCTTTGGGTTGCAAAGACAGTGAAGTAGGGAGATTCCTGGTGGGTTTCCGCCTATCAGAAATACTGACCAGAGAGGTCTTACCTTCAACACAAGAAGGCTGAGCTCGAGTTGTGCCTGCCACCTGTCCCGGGAAACAAGAGCACTTGACCGTTTGAGACCTCTCTTCTATGCGGTTCTTATTGCAGCACCTGTGCACGGCGACCACCTCACAGGTCCCTTGCTTGATTTGGTGGTGGCCTAGTAGGTAATGGAGAAAAACAGACCCAGTGCTGTTAGAGGGAAATGACACCACCACAACCAGAACGATGCTATGTTTTCCAACTTCCCCTGCTATGCTTATGAGTCTTTGTAACTTTTTATTTTGATACCATGTCATTTCAAATTTATATAAAGGCGGTAAGAAGAGTGTAAAAAGCTTCTATGAACCTGTGGTAGGCAGAAATGAGGCCTCCAGGATCTTCAACCCCTGCGGTCACACCCATGGTTATGTTATGTCAATTACATGACAAGAGAGATTTTGCAGATGTGACTGAAATTAATTGGTTGCTTTTTGGTTTTTTTGAGACAGAGTCTCACTCTGTCACCCAGGCAGGAGTGCAGTGATGCGATCCCAGCTCATTGCAGGCTCTACCTCCTGGATTCAAGCGATTTTCCTGCCTCAGCCTCCTGAGTAGCCACGATTACAAGTGTGTGCCACCACACCGGGCTAATTTTTGTGTTTTAGTAGAGATGGGGTTTCATAGTGTTGGCCAGGCTGGTCTCAATCTTCTGACCTCAAGTGATCTGCCTGCCTCAGCCTCCCAAAGTGCAGGGATTATAGGCACGAGCCACCGTGACTGGCCAACTTGTTGATTTTAAGAGAGGGAACATAGCCTGGATTATCCAGTGGGGCCAGTGTGATCAAATGAGCTTGAAAAGCAGACAGATTAAGAGCACCAGGTGCCATTACTGGCTTGACGATGGAGGGGCCACATGTCAAGGAAATGGAGATCTCATTTCTACAACCTCAAGAACTGCCAATAACCAAAGTGAGCCTGGACGCTGATTCTTCCCCCAGAGCCTTCCATAAAGGAATGCAGCCTGCTGATACCCTGATTTGAACCCAGTGGCAAAACCCTGAGCAGAGAATCCAGCCACGCAGTGCCAGACTTCTGACCGGCAGAAACATGCTGCTAAATCTGTGGTACTTTGTTACTGCAGCGATTGCTAACTAATAATACATTTCACCCAGTTTCACCAGTTGTTAACATGTGGCCCCATCTGCATTATCATTCACTCTCTCATGTTTTTCTAAGCCATTTGAGAATAAGTTTCAAGCATGATGCCCATTTACCCCTAACTACTTCACTGTGTATTTTCTAAAAACAAAGACATGAGGTTACATGATGATTAAAGATAGAAAATTTGGCATGATGCAATGCTACTATGTAAAGTAGAATCTATATTCAAATTTTGCTAATCTCCCAATAATGCCTTTTATAGCTATTTTCCCCCCTGCTCAGAATCCAACCAAGGTGCATGCATTGCATTCAGTTGTCACGTTTCATTAGCCTTCTTTATTCAGAAACTCCTCCTCAGTCTTTCTTTCTTGACCTTGACATTTTTCAAAAGTTACATGCCAATTAGTTTGCAGAATGTCCCTCAGTTTGGATTTGTGTGATGCTGCTTCTTGATTATATTCAAGCAATGCATTTTTAGCAGAGTTCCCCAGCACTGATTCTATATTCTTAGTGCATCATATCAGGAAACAATGTCTTTTTTTCTCCATTATCCGTGTTATTACCTTTAATTACATGGTTAGGGTGGTATCTGTCAGGCTTCTCCATTGTAAAGGTATTATTTTTCCCTTTATAATTAGTAAGCATTTTGAGAGAGATATATTAGTGAGACTATGAATATATCCCATTCTTTATCAAACTTTCATCTACTAGTTTTAGTACCCATTGATGATTTCCACCTGAATCAGTTATCAATATTATAGTTGTAAGATTGATTCTATGTTAATGTTCAAATCATCCCAGATCTGGACAAGAGGAGACCCTTCGTATTGTCCTACATCTAGGCAGGAGGAGCTGTGTCAAATTCCCATCGTTCTTTGAGAATTTACTAACCTTCTGACCCTCAAGATGTTCCAGACTTAGCTGGTATTTTCCCTGCCTCCATCATTTCTTCAAGAATCCTTGATTGCTTTTCATGGGGCATCAGATTTAGGAACCTGAATCTCAATGTGTAGGTTTACTCATTACAAGTAGGGAGTGATTCGGGCCCTCTCAGCAAATAGGTCAAGGAATTATGTGTGCAGGTACAGCATAAGTACACACTGATGTCTCCAATTCCAATCTAGTAATTTACATTGGAATCCATTTTATCAGTTAGGAGTCTTTTGTTGGAACAACAAAATCTGATTTGAGCTAACTTAATGCAAAGAGATTTTACTGGAAAATCAGGAGTTTGTAGAATGAAGAGCAAATGTAGCTTAACCATAAGTGGAACCACTCCCATGGCTCAGCCTGAGTAATTCCACTCTGAATCTGTCATTCTGCTCCATGTGTCAGTTCTAGGAAGGGGTACATCTGACTGGCCTGGCTTAGGTCACGTGTCAACTACAGCAGCCATGCTCTAAGATGCTCCCCTGTCATCCCCACCTCCACGTATTCACATGTTTGTGCTGTCCCTTCCCATATGGTATCAGGGTTGGTCTATATGACCAATAGCATGCAGCAGATGTGCTGGTCTGTCAAGTCCAAAATTAGGTGGCTGTCATCTCCAGACCCTCAGATCACTCACTCACAGGAAACCCTGGCATGAGCAGACCTACAGACAGTCCTAGGTAGTAAGAAACAGAAGCGTCCTGACAACAGCTGTGTCAGTAAACTTGCAAAAGAGGGGTCCTTGTGTGGGCCCCTCCCACATTAAACCAGAGTTGGTCTGTGTGACAAGAGCATACCACAGCAGAAGTGATGGTTTGCCACATACATGATTAGGGGATAAGACAGTGGCACCGTCACTCATGTTCATCATGTGTTCTGGGGAAACCATGTTGTGAGCAGCCCTATGTGGATGCCCACATAGCCAAGAACTAGTCTATTGCCATTGATCACATGGACACATGTGGAAGTGGATCCTACAGCCCCAGCCAACAGCCTAACATTACTCTCATGGGAAATCCTAAGCCAGAACCACCAAGCAAAGCCACTCCCAGATTCCTGATGCTCAGAAGCTGTGTACGAAATAATAAGGTCTGGTTATTGTTTTAAGTTTCCAAGATTAGGGGTGTTTTGTTACACAGCAGTAGATAACTAATATACCAACTCTGTCTATACCAGGCTGGAGAGACTTGTCTTTGCTCTGATAAAAATAACGTAAACAAGATTGTAGAGGTTCTGTTCAGAAATTATTAAGGAAACACAACTTTTTCAAGTACCCTTGAGTGTGCTCATAATTTTCAGATACATCCATTTACATATAAATTGTTATGTGAATTGTAAGCAATTTCATCTACTCATTAAAAGAGGTTTCCCTGAGGATTCCCACTGGTTAATGCTTTGCTTGGTTTCTGTTGATGCATGTGTTTCAAAATAAAACCAGTTTAAAAATATTCCATGATTCAGACTTTGTATCCATAAAGACAGGCTTTCCAAACAATAACCTCTGTATTATTCTGAATTTTTTCTGGACCAACACTGCCATACCATCTTCAATGTTGATGGCAGCAAAATTCAATTACTGGTAAGAACAAATGCTAAGGCAAAGTTTCATTTGTAAAATACACACAGACAGAACCAGTGCCCAGAGAATCAAACTACCAGCAAGAGAGAAAGTTTTCAATCTACTACTTAAGAAAGCATGAATATGGAGAAGTGATTAAAATGATAAGCCTAATTAAACGTTCATAACAAGAACGTTGATTTCCCATAGGTAGTTGTATACAATTGTAAAATTAAATAAATAGTAATTATAATCTCAGTAAAGTAGTATAAAACTTTAGCACTGAGTGAGCAGAAAAGGAAGGGCTGGGAAAGATTGGAAGGGAGATTCTATCTTTGGTTTCCAATTGCAAATAAGAAACTTCCATTCAAACATTCCCTGACAGCTAATGACTAGCCATGTACAGGGGCCAGGATGATTCATTCACAGTTGTTTCTCAGGAAGCATTCTCCCATTGGTCATTGTCTCAGTCTGCTTGGGCTGCCATAACAAAATACCATTGACTGGGTGGCTTAAACAACAGAAATGTATTTTCTTATCATTATGGAGACTGGGAGTCCAAACTCAAGATGTCAGCCTGTTTGATTCTTGGTGAGAGCTCTCTTCCTGGCTTGCAGACAGCCGCCACCTTGTGTCCTCACATGGAGAACAGAACAAGCTTTGGTGTCTCTTCCTCTTTTAATAAGGACACCAGTCCTGTCAGATTAAGGCCATGCCCTTAAATGACCTCATTTAGTTTTTATTACCATCTCACAGGCCATCTCTCCAAATACAATCACATTTGGGGTTAGGACTTCAGCATGTGAACTTGGAGAGGATACAGACATTCAGTCCATTAAAACCCATCATGCCATGGTTAGATTACTAAATGACCCTTGAGAGTCTGTAATGAAAGCAGCTTTAACCTCACCAAGAAAATTAAAAATATATGTGTAACTCTTGGAACAGTCAAGAAATGAGCTGGACATTCAGTAATGCTACGTTTACTTAGAACTCTGTTTCTCTGCAACCACTCACAAGTAGAAATGGATTATTTTCTATTCAAACTTACAACTGGTCCACACTACCCTGAATAATCAACTTGCCTGATCCAGAATTTTAATTATTTATACAGCAACAACTATTGTACTTCATTGATTTTAAGATACATATTTTTTTTCACCTTTTAACACATTAGGAGGTGACATAACTAATAGCACCTTACAATTATAATTGGCACTGCTTTTCTGTCTTAGGAATACACGTAATAGTGGTATATCTCACAACTGATGGCATCTTAGATTCGATGAAATATAGATTTTAGGTACTGTTTGAAATTTTTTTAACAAATACCATCCTATGCAATCTTATAAAAATGCTATGAGGTAGGCACTATTTTTCACTCTGATTTTAACAAAATGTACAGAAATTAACTAATTTGCCCACGGCCTCATAACTAGAGATTGGGAAGAGGTGATATTCAAACCTAAGGATGAAAGAAAGGTTCGCCTCTTGCTTTATAGCCTGTATTTTGCCAAGTAAAGCCAAAA